TCGAAAGTCTGAAATATTACATTTTTGCCGCACTTTTTCGTAGATCAAAAAAAAAAGCTACGCCTTTCAAATTCTCAGTTCTTTCAGTTTTCCTAGATTTCTTTCGAATTTTTGAATTTCGACAAATTTCGAAAAATCTGTATTTCACACTCGCAAAATCCTCTGTGAAAATTCAACAACGATTCATTTCTTTCAAGAAAAACTTGGGAGCGGGTGCTAGGTAATTAATCAATAAATATCAATCGCCAATCCAGTATATATCCTCAGAATGCACCAAAATTCAAACTGACGAGGTGTTGTCGTTCCCTTGTTAGTTGAAAATGACGAACTTTGGGTTTCAAAAAAGGATCTAGCAGCTGTTAGTTTTAACTGAGAATTAGAAGAATTGCGAATCAAATCTAGGATGTATTTGACAAAATCTTGCTGTAAAGATACATTCGTGGCTGGGAAAACACTTACAAATCTCAGGAATTACCGACGGAATTGCTGAAAAAAAGTTTCAGGAATTGCTGGAAAAAGTTTAAGTTACCTTTCTAAAAGTTTCCTATTTAAGTTTTCAATGTCTATTTAAAGGTGGGGGACATGAGAAAAATAATGTTGTCGAAATCCCGTTTAAATATGCTCCTCAAGGAGTTGAACTTGTCGAGACAAGTATTGAAGGTGCGGCGCCGCTACCGACTGAGCTACGCGTGCAAAGAGAAAGTCGCTGCCCGATTGCATACCAAAAGGCGAGGGCGACAGCTGTACGCAGAGTGACATTAAGCGTTGTACACTGTGACGGTAGAATGCATAATCTGGCCCCAAAAATCCCCCGTAAAATCTCCTGTCCCCCCACCTTTAAGTTTTCAAAAAAATATGTTCTGAACTTGGTTGACAACCCCTGGAGCTTTCTGTGCAAACATCTGTGTATGTTTTACCTTCTCAGTCTTATAAACTTGAGTGTTTTACATTGAATTTTACATCGTCTCACAGTTGTTGTCTCCATTTCACTCGAATTTTCTTCATTATTTTTTGAAACCAACCGTTTTCGATCAACTCATTTCCTTGTTTTCTTTTTTCATTTACCTCCCTGATTAGTTTTACGCCAGCATCTGGAGATTTCAATCTAGAGACTTCTTTATTAATTATCTCGACTCAAAATGCAACGAAAAATGATAGTGGCTCTTATCACTTTTCTAGTAAGTAAAACAAATCGTGCTCATTAACAATATGGAAATTCATTTTCAGGTTACTGTATTCGGTACTGTATCCAATGCTCTCGTTTTCCTTGCTGCTCGTAGAATGAATTCGATGAACAGTTCTTTTGGAATTATTACCAAAAACCAAGCGATTTGTAACTTCTTGATGTCCTTAATTTTTTTAGTATACATTTTTCCGTTACAAATAAGGTTTGTGCTACTCAAAATGAGCTGAGAAAAAATTTTCAGTGATATAAAACTGATGGTCACTTACTCTCGTTTCATTGGACTGATCGTAGGGACTATATACGAAATCTCGAATTTATCTCATTTTCTGATAGCATCAAATCGTTTCTGTGCAGTGTTTCTCCCTTTTCATTATGATAATATTTTCACTATTTTTAAAACAAAAATATTGAGAAATTTAATTTGGGTGACATCTGCTATTTGGTGTATGGTTTTTTATGAGTTGATTGGATGTAAATTTTCCTATGACGTGGAGTCTTGGTCTCTTGTATTTCTGGCAACTGAAATGTGTACACAACTGACTTGGTATACTGATTTTACGTTCAATACTTCCTTGGTAGTTCTAACTCTTATTACCAACTTGCTGACTGCTTTCAAGGCTGGAAGAAATAGCAGAATGCTGGTTACTGCAGCAATAATTAAGAAGTCAAAACAACAGAAACAAAGGGAACTGAATTTCATAAAACAATCGTTCCTCCAAGGATTGAGTGTCTTTAGTGGTCAAGTCACTTATTATCTGATTGCTCCGATACTGTCGAATCCAGTTCTGATTTTTTGTTTTGGGACAATGTATGTATTCATGCATTCCATTGAAGGGTGAGGATCTAAAATAATAATTTATCAATTTTTTTTCTGTGCCAGAGCTATCATCTTGGCATCTAATCAAGAAATGAGATCAGCTCTCAAGCCTAGAAAAGGCAAGTCAAGATTCAAAGAACGTTTAACAACAATCTAGAATTTTCAGCATCTACTTCATCTTCTGTTTTCATTTCAAGCACATCAATGGGTCAAGTTTTTTGAATGAAGAAACTTTTAAATTTGTTATAATATTGTGTTTGTGACTATGATGTTTGAAAATAAAAATGTGGTATCTTTAAATGTTTTGAACAAACTTTCGAAGTTTTACTGTAACTGCTCTTCTAGTCTATGAAATCAGCACTCCGACTAAGGAAACTTCAAAATCCTGAATAGCTATTTTTCCCTGCTTCCTGGAGAAAAAACCAAACTATGTGCAGCTTTGGCTTGTCAGATTTGCAAAACGAGTTAGCCAATTTTCTGGTTTTCGAAATCGTAGAAAAAAGAAACTAGAATAACAAATGTGAGAAAATTTCAATACAATATTGGAATTTTCTGAGAGCCAGTCAAGAAAAATCGTTTGCAACTTCCTCTTGTCTACGTCACGGCGTCACTACTGTGTTTGGATAGATCGGGAAACAAAACTGAACATTTTCTCAGAAAGCCTCGGCTGCGGGTGCCAATACTTGGCCAAAGCTCATGATTTTACAAGTGTTGGCCAAGCCTCCCACAAGTCTTGGCCAAAGTATGCGTCTCCATGAGCCGTTGTGGTGGCTTCCACAAGTCTTGGGCCATAGTCGGAAAGCTACAAGTCTTGGCCAAATTCTGATTATTGATTTTTTACCTTCGGACTGATCATTTGATTTTCAATTTTTTTGCTGGTTTCACCTAATTTTCTACTATTTTCATAAAGGTTTGAATTTTTAAGAAGGTATTTCAATGTTTTTGGTATAAGAAATTTTGAAGTTTCGAATGGTATAACTTTCAACATGACAGAACATTCAACTTCAACTCAAAAAAGCAAAACCGAAAAAGGATAAATCTGCGAGTCGTGAGCACATCGTGAGCATATCGTGAGTTATTATGAAGAGATATTTAGGTTTGAAGAGTTCAATATTACAGAATTCGAACACTTGAATATACAGAATTTCGATTCACGAAAAAAGAGGAGACGGAAAATGAAAAAAGTCAAAATTCCACCAAGAAATTCTGCATCAAAACTGCTGTTTCAGCCGACAAAGAATCTCTTTTTGAAGGTATCACACATTTTTCAAGGAGTTTGAAAACGCTATGAAAACGATTCATAGTTTCTTCAAAATTGTGCAGAGTGTCGCAGTGGAAAATGAACACGATTTCAGTAAAAAACAATGTTTGGAACTCACAGGAGTAACGTTTTTTAGGATTTGAAGACAACTCTAACTATGTAAAGTAGAATTTATTTGCACTGCACATTATGTAGATGCTTGTTATCCGAAAGTCCGTAATGTCGAAACCAGAACTGTGAAAATTTTTCGAAAAGGAAGTGATGGTATTAGTTCAAAGACTGAGAATTTTTAAAATTATCGTTTGTATTTCAGATGCAAGAAATTGGATCGTAATGTTCTCGTCTAAAGGATACTTCAAAATACAATGCAAAAATTGAGAAAATGAGATGACTCGACTAGATGCGATTACACTGTCATTGTCGATGAATTTCAACGGATTTCAAAGAAAAGGAAACGAAAAGGTGTAAATTTTTTGTGATTTTAATTAATTTTTTTTTCATTATTCGTTTTGTGTAGTGTTCTAATAAAATGTTGTAGTATATTCTAATTTTGAATACAATCACAACAGAACAACAGGTTTGAATGAAAACACACAACGCCACACACAAGTCTTAGCTAATACATAGAATAATGTGCTCGAAGACTTGTGCTAGACTTGTGGGAGGTCTGGCCAAGTATTGGCGCCGACAGCCGAGGCCAAGCATGATCACAACTTCTAAATGGAGCTCATTTCGAAGTTCATCGGAGGGGTTTTGATTTTATATACTAAAATATCATTTACATTAGAACCCCATAACTTATTTCAAAACATGAACCAAAATCATATTTTTATTTCCCGACATCAAAATCACAAAAACAAAAATCATCACAAGTTTAACAGTTTATTTGAGAAAAAAGTTAATTCATTGAAACAAATTGTTTAACCCAATGATACGCTCGAAATGAAAACAGTTGTTGAATTCAATGCTGAAAGATTCAGATTGTTTTTAAACCGGTGTTCGAATTTCAACTTGCCTTTCCTAGGCATGAAAACTGATCTCATTTCTTGATTGGATGCTAAAATAATACCTCTGAATCATAAAACATGTTGATAAATTATAAAAATGTCTTCTCACTAAGCTTTCCACCTCGAACGTATTTCACCCGCCCCACCCGCCCGGATGTGGCGCCCGCCCGACGCCCTATATTTTGAAACAACCGAATTTAATTTCATTTAATGTTTTGCGTCAAAAAGATTTCAAAAAGTGTGGCCCGCGTTTAATCAGCGTGACATAATTTTGTTGGATCACGAAACCGAGCGTATAGGGCGGGTGTAGGGCGGCCTGTTATCCTGTCGGGTGACGGGCGTTTTCGGGAGGACTGCCCGAGGTGGAAAGCTTACTTCTCACCCTTCGATAGAATGCATGAATGCCCACAATGACCCAATAATAAAAATTAGAACTGGATTCGACAGTAAAGGAGCAATTAGATAATAAGTGACTTGTCCACTGAAGACACTCAATCCTTGGAGGAATGACTGCTTTACAAAATTCAGTTCCCGTTGTTTCTGTCGTTTTGACATCTTGATTCCTGCTGCATTCATCAAAATTCTGCTATTTCTTCCAGCTTTGAAAGCAGTCAGCAAGTTGGTAATAAGAGTCAGAACTACAAATGATGTATTGAAAGTGAAATCAGAATACCAAGTCAGTTGTGTACACATATCAGTTGCCAGAAATGCAAGGGACCAAGACGCAACATCGTAGGAGAATTTACATCCGACCAATTCATATAAAACCATACACCAAATAGCAGATGCCACCCAAATAACGTTTCTCAATATTTTTGTACTAAACACAGTAAATAATTTTTCGTAATAATAAGGAAGAAACACTGCACAGAATCGATTCACTGCTATCAGAAAATGAGAGAGATTTGAGATTTCGTATACAGTCATTGCAAACATTCCAATGAAATGGGAGTAATAAACCAACAGATTCGTAGCACTGAAACCAATATATTTTTTTCATTCTAAATACCAGTACAAGCCTTATTTGTAATGGAAAAATGTAAACTAAAAAAATTAAGGACATCAAGAAGTTACAAATCGCTTGGTTTTTGGTTATAATTCCAAATGAACTGTTCATCGAATTCATTCTACGAGCAGCAATGAAAACAAGAGCATTGGATACAGTACCGAATACAGTAACCTGAAAATGAATTTCCATATTGTTAATGAGCACGATTTGTTTTACTTACTAGAAAAGTGATAAGAGCCACTATCATTTTTCGTTGCATTTTGAGTCGAGATAATTAATAAAGAAGTCTCTAGATTGCAATCTCTAGGTATAGGCGTAAAAAACCAGGAAGGGGGGGGGGGGTGAAGAATGAATGAAAACAAGGCAAAGAATTAATCGAATTTTTTGGTTTTGAATTCGCCAAAACAATAACAATGGATGAAAATTCGAATGGAATGGGAACTCACACCTGTGAGACAACTGCATTTGAATATTTTCATTCAATTATAAGCTTTTCCACTGAAATTCAGTTTCAGCGAAAATTGATTTACGAAGAAGTTGACGTGTCATGATTGGTGACTGATCGTTTAGAAGAAAAATAGAAAGAAGTTACAGTTGAAATTTTGGTAAAAATAGATCTTGACCCCAAAAAAAACGGCAGGTTTGAGCAAATCGGATAAAATTATTCAACACCAAAAACTATAACAAAAATAAACAATGGACTTGATGAGGTTTGGGATGTGCTCTGTCTTCTTGAACTGGAACTTCTGGTCCAAATTTGTTGGTGACAATTGCATTCCTGCGATTCTTGCCATGTTAACACTACCCCCACACGTTATGAAAGCTAGCTGGCATTGATAATCATGTCAAAATGAATCAGACGACATGAGACGATTGGTAGCATTTTCCTAAAGAAAATTAGGCGTTTGAAATGAAGGACATAATCCACGAGCACTCCTTAATAATCTTCGGAGGCGAAGAGAAGATAACCCCCACTTTGAAACTATATTGTATTTGTATTTGTATTTGTATTTATTACGTAAAAAATACGTGGAAGAATAAAAAGAAAAAAGAATGAAAAAGAGAATAAATAGACAAAAAGGGACATGGTGACATAAAATTGATATTTCTTAACCTAGACATGAATAATAGTGGATAATAACAAATCTTTTTCTGAACTTCTGACAGCAGCAGGCTTTTAGATCCGTTTTGTAGAGCTCATCATTTTACTAAGAACCCTATGTGTGAAGAAGTTTTGTTTAAGTTTAGACTTTGGAGTTTTCCATTGGTAGGTGCGGCGGCTGCGCGTTTTTGTCGATCTAATTTTGAAATATGATAAATGATTTATATTAATTTTACCTAGAATGAGTTTGTTGAAGAATTTCAGATCAAGCTTTTCCCGTCTAGATTGTAGTGATTCTAGGCTGAATTCGGTCAATCTGTCTTGAGATGTTTTGTAATCCTTATCAATTCTCGTTAAGTTTCCACCCACTATTCTATTCCTCAATTTTCTAGTGAAGGAGCTTTGCACTTTCTCTATATTGTCAATGAGCAGTTTTTTAGAAGGGCTGGCTACCACCGTTCCATATTCCAAATACGGTCGCACAAAAGTCTTATATAGTAATGACATTAATCTAACGTTCTTACTATGATAAGTTTTAAAAATAGAGTAACTAGCATATTTCGCCCTATTGATAGCTATTCAGTTTCTTGTGGACAGGATCCTGGTTCAAAACATCTCAGCTCTGTTTTTATTTTCTGTTTGAAATCTCCTTTGCATCTTGGTCGACGAATTTTAGAAGAAACGCTGAATTTCCGAAGAAGAATTGTTGTTGTTGTTCCCATTTCCCTCGAATAGCCATTCATTACTATTTTAACTAATTCAAAACTAACCATTTCCGACGAATTCCTTCCCCACTTGGGTTCAAGCCAATGGGTCAGAAATCGCGCCCCAGTAAACTTGAGATTTTAGAAAAAAATCGCTGCTGAATTATGTTGCTGAGGATCAAACTTTCAAACATTGCACGAAAAAATCACGAGTTGCAACTCGTTGACTCTAGGGCGCTTCCTTGGTGCATTGAGTGACTGTAGAGCTTGGCAAGAGTGAGTCTGTAAGCTCTATCACACAAGAGCTAATGTGCAACAAATATATCCAGGTTGCAACCCCGTAGGGGGTGCGACAATACCCGTCTCTCTGATACGAACAATTCGTGTGTGTGCGTGCGCGGGATGCGCCGCTCATGTCGGCGCTTATTCAAATTATATTTATGTTAATGAACGAAACAATGGATTGTGATTAGTGAACGGAGTGTGATAATAAGGGGAATGAATATGACCCGAGTGAAACGGATAATCCAGAGGGATTTTATGGGGAAAATCGGGGAACTCTGGGTTATATCGTTTTCAAGTTGTCAGTGTCCCAAGACAGTGGGGAAAATTGACAGCATAACCATTTATCAATTTTTTTCTGTTTCAGATCTGTCATCTTGGCGTCCAATCAAGAAATGAGATCAGTTTTAAAGCCAAGAAAAGGCACGTAGAGATCCAAAAAAACCTCTTTAAAACAATGTAAATATTTCAGCATGGCCTTCAACATCCAATGTGATTCTTATATGAAGTGAATGCAGTTTGATCTCCTTTTTTCCTTGTTTTTCAGTCCGCATAATTTTTTAAAATTTTGAAACCAAAATATAGGTTGAGGTGACCTCTTGAGAAAAAAGTGAGGGGCGGAGCGACGAACCAATGAAAGTATATAAAATCGCGCCGCAGCCGCACCAGCCACTTGTTGGAAAGGGACTCCAAGCCACTCCGACTAGTTGGATTTCAGAATGAGTCTCCATATAAAACTTTAGATTTCGGATAGATGATTCCTCATGATTCGACTCCTGAGAAAACGTTCTGCCATGTTTTATATGAAACGTTCGATTCTAAGCCACCACGCCTTTATAGCTCTATTGAATTTTCACCAAGAGTCTATTTGGAAACACATTGAATATTTATTTTTTTTATGTTACAGAAACATTTGGGACTAACAACAACTACAAAGTAGAAAAAATACACAGAAAAAAAACCAGAAAATCAGATGAGAACCAGTAAATTTGTTTTTCCATTGATGCTAACTTTTGTTGGTTCTTTTCCATTATTACATCTGAAATAAAAAACAACCAATTTAAAATTTCGAAACACGGGATGTAGTTGACCTCCATGCTTCCACAGTTCTTGTCGGTACATCATCGGATGTGTTACAGCTGAAAAAGATTGATTTTTTTAGACCATCTGAAAATTCAGCTAACCAAAAAAACCACTTCTTGAAACATATTTTCTTCAATTCAGGATTACAAAGAATCGTAACCATCCCTTCAAATGCATGCACAAAATACCAAGGAAGAAGTATGATTATGAATCGGAGCAACTCATTTTCGATAATTGTTACTAGCAAAAAGTACGACAATAGAGCAGTTGCATATGCACTTTCTTGTATAAAAGTTTGCATCAGAAAGTTCTTTTCGGACTTTGCTTTCCGTTGAGATGACGCATGATTCAAGGTAATGGAAACCTGTAATTTCGCAAAGGTTTTTTCAATAGAACTTCCACCAAATGACTGTGTAAATGACTTCGAATTCTACTTTTCAAGGCATGTCAATCGCAAATTTGAGATTTCCCAAAATAGAGATGACTCAGGTGTCGCCGGCTATTTCCGATGTTAGTCAGTTTTCTGATCAGGTCGCTACTAAAGCCGACAAACTCAGAATTTTCAACTATGATCAAAATCTAACCTTGGTCCGCTAGGTAGCCGTTTTTTGGCAAGTTCCGACCAGAATCTGACGAATATCTGTCCAAAAGCCGAAACCCTTCGATTTTAGACCAGAAGTAACAAGCCAAGTGCAAATACACTCTCAAACCTCCATAGGTTCTTTTTTTCCTCCCTTGAGTCACCTTATAAATCAATGTTTACTCGAAACATGCATTTTGCAAATTTAATAAGATTTTCGATTTATATTTCTACTGGGCAAGAGTCTTAGCTCAAGACAGGCTCTACGTGTTTTCATACTTACCGCTCTGTTTTGACGTCTAAATTGGTAGAATGTGATTAAATTAAATACAATCATAATGACAACTACGACCATGTGCAACTGAAAATCCGCGATAAAAGTCAGATACTGACATTCTGGAGTGAGAGTGTATATCAGAGTAAATATAGACCTCTCGTAATACATTTGACAGCCGGCTGAAAAAATGGAGTGTTTGTTTTTATGATTTTTTTTTGAGAAACTCACAAAGAGGAAAAACTGTCACACAAATGAGAAGACATACAATCCACAAAAACACAAGCATAGTATAAGTATAAGAGTTATTGAATATAATTGGATATTTATGAGGAAACCATACTGCACAGAAACGATTCAAACATATGAGAAGATGAGTTTCAGTTGCAAGATCATAGCAAAGATATAAAACAAAACCTGCGTGGTGGGATTTTTTATATAACCAGTCGACTTCTCTGAAACTCGTAAATTCAATATTTATAATGTCAAAAACAACATACAGAAGCATCATGGGAGTTATCCATACAACTGCAATAGTACAATAAATTGCCGTTGCAAATGCACCATGTGCCGAGAGTATTCCAAAAGAGCTCCGAAGAGTTGGAACGCTACTCGAAAAGAAAACAACCGACCAGTTGGTGAAGCAACCGAATAGCCCACTCTGAAAAAAAACCTTTTATATTGTATCCAAATTAAGAAAAACTCACAATAAGAGTGAAAATTCCAAGGAAGATTTCTTTTTCCATTGAACGGGATCGAAAAAAAAAAGAAAAAAAAAAAAGATGAAAAACTAGACTAAATATCAGATGCCTAAATAATTATTACTGGCAAGCTGTTTTGTCTCAAGACGCCAGTCAATATGACAACTTAGGTACCTAAATTATATAATCGGAAAAAAGAAGTCCAGTCTGACATATTTCCTCGTTTCTTGGAGCAAGGATCAAAAAAAATGCGGGCTTAATTTGATAAAGTGAGAGTCAAGTTTGGCCAAACTCTTTTGATGTTTCGAAGAAACTCTGGGCAACTTTTAATTTTAAATATACACTAGAATTATGTCTTCGTATTGGCATTTTTTCATCATCTTCTTACCCCAAACAGTTGGAATAAAGCGACAAGAACACAATCTACATGCATGTCATTTCCGCGCGTTTTTATCTTTCTCCGTTTATCCTACAAGCTATCAATGACTCACTTTTTTTTGGCAAAAGCTGATTGCCTTCGCTACAATCTTCTC